TGTGTGCCCCCTGCATGTTGCCTCCATGCGTGCATCAGTGTCAGGTTTTCTGGGCACAGGGCATCATTATCAGAGGGTGCTGGGTGGCAGCGTCAAGACTGGAGGTCTGGGCACAGGCCAAAGGCATCAGGACCAGAGTCGCTTTCCATTTCTTTCTTAATAATATCTAATTTTCCTAAATTTGTGCTCTCACATTCCATGTTCTAATCATTAGTGTCTGCTTATAACTGTTCCTCCTCATTTGTGTGTCCCAATATGCGGACTCAGCCTCAGGAGCCATATCTGCTAGTCTACTTTAAGTGTGCTCTATTGTACACTTCTTAGGGTGATGTGTTAACAAGAATAAAATTGTGATCTAAAGCTTGTGTATTAAATGCCATAACTTTGTAGTACCTTGGAACTTTTTTGCTTTCTTTTTTTTCTTTCTTTCTTTTTCTTTTTGCCTGTGCTAAATAGAAATGTGAACTAGTTAAAATGTCAAATCAGATATGTTGATTATATACATACTTTGGAAGCAGGAGTGACATCCACTTCCTAAACTACATGCCTCTGGAAACTCTATGAACTTGGAGAAATGACAGTACAGAAAAACTTCAGCCCTTTAATTGATAGGGTCACTATGAGTTGTGCTTCACTCGACAGCAATCAATGACAACAATGTTGTACACTTATTCATTGCAATTATGTTTCATAAAAAACAAATGCTGTCTATACACATGAATTTCACCTGATGGTACACAGAGGAATCAAATAGAATACATCTGTGGAAAGAACCACTGGAGAAGCTCACTATCAGCTCTGAAAACTAGGCCAGGTGCTGATTGTGGAACCACCAACTACTCATATGCAAGTTCAAGCTGAAGCTAAGGAAAATTAAATCAAATCCACAGAACCAAAATCTAATCTTCAGTCTATCCCATCTGAATTTCAAAACAATCTCAGGAACAGATTTGAGGCCTTGAACACTAATGAGCAAAGACTAGATGAACTGTGGGAGGATATCAAGAATATCATCCAGGAAGAATGCAAAAGGTCATTACAAAGACAGGAAAGAAGAAAAGACCAAGATGGATGTCAGAAGAAACTCTGAATATTGCATTAGAGTGATGAAAAGCCAAAGCAAAGGGAAGAAATCAAGATATTATGGAGCTGAAGAGACAATTTCGAAGGGCAGCAAGGGAAGATAACGTATTACAATGAAATGTGCAAAGAGCTGGAGTCAGAAAATCAAAGGAACCGAACCTGCTCAGCATTTCTTAAGCTCAAGGAACTGAAGAACAAATTCAAGCCTCAAGTTTCAATACTTAAGGATACTTTGGACAGAATATTTAATGATCCAGGAAGCATTAAAAGAAGATGGAAAGAGTATACAGAGTCTTGTACCAAAGGAATTGGTGGACACAGAAGAATTTAATGTAACAACGTATGAGCAAGAGACCGTGGTGATGAAGGAAGAAGTTCAAGCTGCTCTGAAAGAATAGGCAAAAAAATAGGGCCCCAGGAATTGACAGCATATCAATTAATATATTTCAATAAACAGATGCTGCCATGAACGTGCTCATCAAGTTGTGCCAAGAAATCTGGAGGACAATCACCTGGTCAACTGACTGGAAGAGATCTATATTTGTTCCCATTCCAAAGAAAGGTGACCCCACAGAGTGTGGACATTATAAAACAAAATCATTGATATCACATGCAAGCAAGATTCTGCCAAAGATTATTCAAAAATGACTAGAACAACACATGAACAGAGAACTGACAGAGGTGCAGGCTGCGTTTAGAAGAGGCCATGGAACTAGAGATATTATAGCTAATGTCAGATGGATCTTGGTGAAAGCAGGGAGTGCCAGAAGAATGTCTATCTGTCTTTCATTGACTATGCAAACGTACTTGACCGTTTGGTTGACTTCGAAAAGAACGGGAATCCCAGAATACTTGATTTTGCTTATGAGAAACTTACACTTGGACCAAGAGGTAGTCCTCAGAACAGAGCAAGGAAACACTGCACGGTTCAAAATTGGGAAGGGTGTACACCTGGGATGTGTCCTATCTCTAGACATTTTCAATCTATATATGCAGAAGAGATAATCTCGGAGGCTGGGCTCTATGGGGAGAAATGTGGCATCAGAATTGGAGGAAGACTCATCAAAAATCTGCATTATGTGGATGATACAACCCTGTTTGCTGAAACTGTGAAAGACCTGAAGCACTTGCTGCAGAAGGTCAAAGAGTACAGATCTCAATATGGCTTGAAGCTCAACATCAAGAAAACAAAGATTCTTACCACTAGGCCAATTGCAGCATCATGATAGATGGTGAAGAGATTGAGATTGTTATCAGCTTTCGTTTGCTTGGCTCTACAGTCAACATTCTTGGTACCAGCAGCCAGGAAATTAAAAGAAATTACACTGGGGAAAGTCTGCTGTCAGAGACCTCTCCAAAGTAATGATGAGCAACAATGTCAGTCTGGAGACTAATGTGAGCCTGATACAGGCCATGGTCTTTGCAATTACTTGCTATGCATCAAAGAGCTGGACAATGACTAGAGATGATAGATGGTGAATTGATGCCTTTGAGTTGTGGTGTTAGAGAAAAATACCGAATATACCATGAACTGCCAAGAGAACAAACAGGTTCATCCTGGAGAGGGTGAGACCAAACTGCTCCTTGGAGGCAAGGATTCTGAAATTTTGTCTGACATACTTTGGGCATGTTACAAGGAAGAACCAGTCCTTGGAGAGGGATCTCATGCTTGGCGGGGAGGTGGGGGTAGGGTGTGGAGGGACAGAGAAAGAAGAGAAGATCCTTGATAAGATGGATTCATTCAGTGACTGGAGTAATGGTGGTAGGTGTGTCAGAGACAGTAAGATTGGCACAGGGTAGAGCAGGGTTTAAGGCTGTTGTACATAGTGTCACTATGAGTTGCAGGTGACTTCACAGCACATAACAACAAAACAACAACATTGAACATAGGGTTTTTTAAGGTTTGTTCTTTGGAAGTTGATGGCCAATCCTTCTTCCTAGTCTGTCTTAATTTAGATCATGGCTAACCTTGAGAATAATGGGAATTCCAGTACCCTTGATTGTGTTCATGAAAAACCTATACTTTGACCAGGAAACAGTCCTCTGAACAAAGCAAGGAAACACTGCATGGTTCAAAATTCGAAAAGGAATGTGTCAAGGATGTATCTTGTCTTCATACTTTTCAATCTATATGTGGAACAGAGCATTCAGGAGGCTGGACTTTATGAGGAAGATGTGGTCTCACGATTGGAGGAAGACTCATCAACAACCTACATTATGGAGATGACACAACCTTGCTTGCCTGAAATGTTTGCTGCAGAAGGTCAAGGATTGTAGTCTGCAATATGGATTGAAACTCAACATCAAGAAAATCAAGATTCTCACCAGTAGGCCAATTGGCAGCCCAAAGATAGATAAAGAAAAGACTGACGTTGCTAACAATTTCACCTTATTCAGATCCACAGTCAACACTCTTGACACCAGCAGTCAAGAAATAAAAATATTAACTGAATTGGGGGAAATCTGCTGTCAGGGTCCTCTCCAAAGTGCTAAAGAGCAACGATGTCAGTCTGGAGTCTAAGGTGCACCTGATTCAGGCCATAGTCTTTGCAACTACTTGCTATGCATCAAAGATCTGGACAATGACTAAGGATGACAGAAGAAGAAGAACTGATGCCTTCGAGTTGTGGTGCTGGAAAAGAGTGTTGACTCTATCATGGACTGTCAAGAGAACAAACAAGTCTGTCCTTAAGAGGGTGAAAACAAGATGCTCTTTGGAGGCAAGGATTTCTGAAGCTCCATCTCACACACTTTCGGCACATGGGCAGGAGGTATCAGTCCATCATGCTTGGAAGGGTGGAGGGTCAGTGCAGGAGAGGAAGACCTTGGATGAAATGGATTGACACAGTGACTATGGCACTGGGGCTAAGTGTGTCAGACACAGACTAGATCAGGATAGGATAGGGTTCAGAGCTGTTGTACACAGGGTTACTGTGTCACAGGAGACTTGACAGCACATAACAACAACAGCAATAGTATGACTTACTGGTTTTATTTTCTCACAGAGTTTTCATATTGTGCGGGTGGAAGATATGGAGGTCAAGGAGTAAAAAAAGCATGTAGTGATTTTAGAGATTAGGAAAATTTATTTACTAGAGGATTAAATGAGTTTGCTGGACAATTGATTGCTATATGTGGTTATCAAACTGAAACAAGGTCATTGTGTGAGTGTGTGACTTTATAGAAGTGTCAACTGTTCAAGTATAGACATAGATGGATGAGCTTTTCACCAGGGTTGGAATTCTGTAAGAGAAGTTTGGTGGGCGGCCCAAGAGCCAGTGAAGACATGGACGATTTTGTAAATGAGTGGCTGAAACGATAGATGATAGATTCAAGTCTAGGTAAAGTCTAGTCCGAAGGAACAGGAAATAAAAAGTGGTCATTCAACTTAGATGAAGAATTGTTGGCCTTAACCTAAATTTAAAAAATAAATAAATAAAAAAGAATTGTTGGGCGGAGTCAGAAGTGAAGGGTCACAAATGAGCAGGTGTGATGTAGTTTATACCCGAGTTCTATCAGCCGTTACCTATCCATGAGCATTGAGCATAGAGAAGTAATCATTTGTATAGGCATGTACTCTTTGAATACTTAATACAATGCAATGTTGCTTCCCCCACATTGCAGCTAATTTAAGGAAAGATTCCCCATAAGAAAAAAGATGATAAACACAAAAGCTTAAGTATAGAAGCTTAAGTGATAGAAGTAATGTTAGAAGTGGCAACACAAAGGATGAAATAACTAACAGCAGAGAATTCATTCAAAAACTGGTCATAAATGGTCCTCTAGTCCAGCCGGAGAGAGAAGCCAGGCAAGACATTCTTATTTGTGTTATTACCGGAGTCTCAATTTTCCTTCCCTTTCCCCTTGATCCAAAGAGCGGTAACTACAAAGTAGCAAGTAAACGATGCAGAACTTACCTTTCTTTGGCACCGTCTGAGCTCTCTGCTGCAACCTTTCACCTTTAGGTTCTCGGGTTCTGGACAGGGAAGGGCCCCAACACCTACCGGACGACTCGGATGACTGCCGAACCGGTGACTGAGCCCTAGTGTTCACAGGCGGGGCGATAGTCACTGCACCGGGAAGTAAAGGGGCATCGTTGAGCTTCTGGGTCTCCTGAGGCTTGTGCAGCTCATAGACCCTGTAAGGCACCTGAGCCTCGCTGGTCTGGTCCAGCTCACTGGTCTCTAACTCTTCCGACTCGCCTTCACCTGGCTCCTCCGTCTCAGATTCCCTATAATCTCCAAGCACCTCAGACTCCCCAGGATCCTCGGATTCCCACGGCCCCTCGGACGCCCATGGCCTCTTGAACATATAGGGCTCCTTGGACACCCAGGGCCCCTCCGATTGCTCGGCCTCTTCGACCTCCTCTGACCGTTCAGCCAACTCGCCCTTTTTCTCCTCGGGCTTGCGCAACACGTGGAAGAACCTGAGCACCAGCGGCTTATGGAAGGTCTCGTACTCCGAGGACGTTTCTGTTGCATCGAAGAAGCCGTCGGTGGCCCCGGACAACGTGGAGGAAGCCTCAAAATCTAGATTCTCCATTTGTGCCCTGCAGCACCCTCTAGCGGCCAGCGCCGGGGAGGCTCACTGTTTGGGCGGAGAGTTAGGGAGGCCGGGAGCCCTGGGGCTCTGCGCCAGCCCCCCGCGCCGCCCACCTAGCCCAGGCCCTCTGGAGGCGTCCTGCGGTTGCCAAGGCGACGCAACGAGCCCTAAGAATATCTAGGTTCGGCCCTGCGGAGGGCACGCTGAGCTGCCTCCATAGAGACGTAAGGGGGCAGCTGCCTCCCGAGCTAGGAGTCAGCTCAGAAGCGCTGTGGGGCCTAAGTCACGGGAAGAACAAAGCAGTTTCTAGTCTAGTTACAACACCACTCAGCCTTTGTTAGGTTTCAGATGCTCTCTAGCTCAGGCACTGCCTACGCCTTTGGCCCCAAATCATGTTGTTGTGTTGTTATGTGCTCCCTCACCCCAAGAATGCTACAATTCACAGCGATCCTGTGAACAATGGCTCTGAACCTTGCCCTACCCTGAGCCAACCTTTCCTATCTCCGACACACCTGACCCCACTGGCACAGTCACCGTGTCAATACTGGGTGTCATTCTCATTTGCCATTTGAGTCGGAACCTAGTGACTCACCTTCCAGTGGATGTCTGAGGCTGTAAATTACACATCATGACATCATGATAGATGGAGAGAAGATTGCAATTGCTTAACAATTCAATCTTGCTTATATCCACAGTCAACATACACCACTGGTACCAGCAGTCAGGAGATCAGAATGTGTATACCACTGGGAAAGTCTATGACATCAGTTCAAAATCTAAGGTGCACCTGATTCAAGTCATAGTCTTCCCAGTCATCTGCAACTGAGAGGTGGACAGTGGATATGGATGACAGGGGAAGAATTGATGCCTTTGAGCTGAGTTGGAGAACAGTGCTGAATATCCCATGGACTGCCAAAAGAACAAACAAATGCCTTGGGAAAAGCACAGCCAGAGTGTTCCTTGGAGGCACAGGCGATGAAGCTTTGTCTAAAATACTTAGTGCATATTGTTAGGAGAGGCTATTCCTTGGGAAGAGACATCATGCTTGGAAAGGTCACTGAAAGAGAGCAGAAAACTCTCAGCTAGATAGATTGATACAGTGACTGCAGCAATGAGCTCAAGTAAGTCAGAGGATTAGGATGGCATGTGACAGGCTTCAGTCTCTTGTTCATTGAGTCACTATGAGTTGTACTCACCTCGATGGTACCTAACAATGGCTACTATCCAACATGCCAAACTTTTCCCCATTTTAGCTCTCTCTACCACTGTTCCCAATGTCTGTAGTTCTTTCCTCCCAACCTTTATATACTGGATCTTTCCCATCTTCCAGCGCTGGGTGTGAATATCACCTAGTCAAATCTTTCTAACTCACATTAAAATGTTATCGTTATTTCCTCTCTCAATTTGTCAGTTCAACATGATTTGTAATTATTTCATCTGCTTATTGTCTTCCTAGTTGGAACATATGCTCCTTAAGAAAAATAATCCATTCTGATCTGTTCATGAGTGCCAAGCCTGATAAATAAGTGTGTTAACTACCAGAAGAGTGGAAGACACTCAACCAATGGATTTGACACAGTATCTGCTGCAATGGGCTCAACTGTGTCAGAGATGATGAGGATGGCACAGGATAGGACAAGGTTCAGATCTGTTGTTCACAGGGTCACTATGAGTTGTAATTAACTCAATGGGCACATAACATCAGCCACCACCTTCCTCAGCATGATGTCTTTTTCCAAGGTTTGCCCCTCCTGATATGCCCAAAGTATGTGAGAAGAAGATGCTTTTAATAAGCTAACATTACCGTTAATATTCCATACATTGAGAACACGGGAAACGGCTTCTTTTTTATTTGTAAAGTGGAAACGTTTGGCTTTAAGCCTGACAACACTCCTGAAGACTTGTAGATCGTGAGCAGTTAGCAGGCTGGATCATGGTCATTGCACATCCGCAGCCAGGTGTGCGATCAAGTCCTTGACATCCTGCATGATGGAGGGTAATTCTGAGCCATTCTCAGTTACTTGGGTTCCAAACAAGAACATCTTCCTCTCGTTTCCCACCTCAGATAACGCCAATGCATCATGGATATCCGTGATGTGATATGACGTTTCAAGATCCTTTACCAGGAATGGAAAAAAGAATAGGAAACTGTCATTTTCTGCTGCTTCTAGAGAGAGATTCTCATCCATTACTTTGAATAAGCCCATCATTTGTAATACAGAGAACATCATAATTCTACTATGATAGCCCCAGATATTATCTTAATACTATTATTATCACCAGAACTATGCTAGCATGTACAAAGTATCATAAAAACATTTCTGGAAAGTTAAACTGGCATGTGTGGCATGTGTTCTGTTATATATTTTTACAATAATTTTGAAAATATTTCCTGGAATTAAGTCAAGTCAATATAATTCCTTGTTTTCCCCCTAAGATTATTTTAATATAATCAGTTCTTTTATAGCTAACAACTTAACTATGATTTTTATCACATTTTTGTCCATATCTAATATCCTAATTATAGCATTTTATTTGTGACTCTGATTTCTACTGAAAATACTATTTTTATCAAATCTGGGGAGGTGATGGGATACAGAGAAGGGAACTGAAGAAGAGTGGGCTTAGAAAATGAGGTGATGGGGGTGCAGGGAGCAAGAGAGGGAAGAGATAGGTGATGACAAGACTCAGAGAGGGGAGAGGCCTCAGCCAAGGAAACTCAAAGTGATAGAAACATTCTTGTTGCATAAGTCAATTCTGACGTATGCATTAAACTACTAGCCATAAAATTGGCTGTTTGAACCCACCTATGGGTGCCTGGGAAGACAGATCTGACAAATCACTTGCTTCAGAAATGTCAACTCTTTCTATTCTGAAGCACTGGGCCACCACAAGGCAGAGAAGATAGGGATTAAAACTGAAGATAAGAAGACTGTGTTTATGCTGTATGCCAGGATCCAAACCTTGAAGTCGAAATGGAAAAGTCAATCAAGTAACCCCTTTTGTACGTATACACACATTTAGCTATATATTTTCAGTTTATAAAATATCTACCTTTTTGCTTCTAAAAACTCAGTTGCAAATAGATTTGTGTTGTTGTCATACATGTTGCCCCTAAATTGGAAATATTCCGCTATATGTAATGTTTTTTCACCTTCACCAACATTGTTGTTATGTACCATTGAGTTGGAACCAACCCACAGCTGACCATCCAGTGTGTTTGCAGAGGCAATAAATTGAAGAGCAACTGGTGGATTTGAACTGTGTGCCTTCAGGATGGCAGTGCAGCTCTTTACCACGAGGCTACCAGAACTCCCTGTACCCTCACTGTGGGTCTAGGTGCTATGCTTGGCACCTGTCTGAAATTAAGTACCTTCCTAGATGTTGGCCATGTCAAATTATTGCTTATTCGAAACTTGAATTTGTTTCATTTCAAATCTATCATTATTTTTGTAACTGTATTTATTAATAGAGGAGTTAACATATGGATGAGGTCACTGATTAATAAAGTCACTGTTCTGGTGGTCTCATGGGAAGCAGTTGTGCTGTCAAGCCAAAGAGGGCACCTCAAATCCACCAACTGCTCCAGAGGGAGAAAGATGGGGGAACCTTCTCTCATGCACTTCACAGTCTCTGGGAACCTGCTGGAGGGCTCCCTCTACTATGCTGTGCCATCCTCCTCATCACAGAGTTCTCTACATGTGGCTTTTTTTTTACGTCTAATTGGCTTATAACACCACTCAGGTCCTTTTGTTTCTTGTTGGTCTTCTTTCTAGATGTCCTGGCTAGTTCTGAAAGTAGTATTGTACTGACGTCTCCAACTGTAACTGGATCCATGTCTCCCTTCAGTGTTCAGTCTTCCTATCAGGGTTTATTTCATATATTTAGGTCCTGGAAATATTTCTATATTTCCAGTCTAGGCCAGGAAATTTGGAGGACAGTTGTCTGTCTGACTGGCTTGAAGAGATCCATATTTCTTTCCATTCTCAAGAAAGGTGATCCAAGAGAAAGAGGAAATCATAAACCAATATCATTAATATCACATGTAAGCAAAATACAGCTGAAACCCATTCAAAAATGGCTAGAATAGTGCATAGAGCACATCCAGAAGTTCAACTAGGATTTAGAAGAGACTGTGACATCAGGAAATCAGTGCTGATGTCAGATGGATTCTGGCTGAAAGTCAAGAATACTAGAAGAATGTCTGTTTGTGCTTTATTGGCTATATCAAGCCATTTGACTGTGTGAATCATAACAAACCTTGGCTAACATTGAGAAGAATAGGAATCCCAGAAAACTTATTTATGCTCAGATGAAACTTGCATCTAGTCCAAGAGACTATGATGCGAACAAAGCAAGGGAACATTGGATGGTTTAAAGTCAGGAAAGGTGTGCTTCAGGGTTGTATACTTTCTCCATACCTGTATGACGAGAAGCTGGACTCTATGAAGAATGTAGCTTCAGGATCAGAGGAAGACTCATCAACAGCCTGTGTTTTACAGATGATAAAATCTTGCTTTTAAAGTGAGGAGGACTTGAAACATTTGCTGCAGAAGATCAAAGACTACAGCTTTTGATGTGGATTGCATCTCAGTGTCAAGAAGACAAAAATCCTTACCACTGGATCAATCCATTGATATCATCACGACAGATGGAGAAAAGATTAAAGCAGTCAATGATTTCATCTTACTTGGATATACAAAAATCCTTGGAATCAGCAGTCGGAAGATCAAGATATGTATTAAATTGGGCAAATTTGCTATTAGGGACCTCTCCAAATAACTGAGGAACAATGATGTAAATTTGAAGACTAAGATGCCCTTGATTCAGGCTAGGGTCTTTTCAATCACTTGGCTATACATCTATCTGAAAGCTGGACAATGAATAAAGATTCAGGAAAAGAATTGATGCCTTTGAGTAGTGGTGTTGGGTAAGAATACTAAATACTCCCTGGAGTGCCAAAAGAATACACGTGTATCTTGAGTAAAAGGCAGCCAGAGAGCTCCTTGGAGACAAGGATGGTGAAGCTGCATTTCACATATTGTAGGCTAGGATAGGTTATTCTTTGGAAAGGTGATGGTCAGGGAAAGGCCCTCAACCAGATGGACTGACATAGAGACTGCAGCAATGGGCTCAAGTTTGGCAGAGATGATGAGGATGGCACAAAACAGGACAGGGTTCAAATTTGTTGTTCATAGGATTACAATGAGTTATATCTGACTTGATGGCACCCAACAACAACAATAACAACAACCTTATCTCTCTTTTGGTTGTTTCAATGGCATTGTTTTCTGTCTTTACTCTTTCATTCTATTTGTGTCCTTGGTTTTAAGGTGTGTCTCTTATCATGGTTTTTTGGTTGATTTCTTTTAATTGATTCTGCTGCTCCCTTCCTTTTGATTTGAGCATTTAGTCTATTTATGATCACTGTATCTACTGATTAAAAGTTACTTACTCTTGCTATTTTATTGTTTTGTGTGTGTCTTAATTAAGTCTTCTTTGTCTCTTTTAAATTTCTGCTTACTTTTTTTTGTTGGCTTGTTTACTGTTATTGTTTTGTTGTTAGGTGCTATTCAGGAGAGTACCCTACAACTATGAGATATCATCTCACCCCAGTCAGAATAGCAAAATTTAACAGAACAGCAAGCAACAAATGCTGGCGAGGTTGTGGAGAAACTGAAACCCTTATTCACTGTTGGTGGAAGTGTAAAATGGTGCAACCACTGTGGAAGGTGGTATGACACTTTCTCAAAAAGTTGCAAATAGAGATACCATTTGACCCACTAATTCCATTACTGGGAATATACCCCAAAGAGACCATAACTGATATCCATGAAGATATATGCATACCCATGTTTGTTGCAGCTTTGTTCACAATAGCAAGGAGTTGGAAACATCCTAAGTGTCCATCAACAAACAAAAAAAAATGGATAGAGAAGCTGTGGTATATTCACACAATGAAATACTATGCTGTATTGAAAAACAAGGAACTCATGCAATATTATTCAAAATGAGTGACCCTGGAGGACATTATGCTGAGTAAAGTATCTCAGTCACAAAAGGACAAATACTACATGGTGCCACTGTTGTAAAACAGGTCTGACATCGGGGTTGGGGAGGAGACTGAGAAAGATGGGTACAATAATGTATACTGCATTGAAATAGATGAGGGAGAAAACTGTTTAAAAGGGATATGTGATTAGGTATTTTGTCATAACAGGTGTCCAGAGCAAAGGCTACATGGTGGAGTGGTTTTTGTTTTACTTTTACAAGAGGATAGTGTACTAGGGGGGAGGGTTAGGAGGGGAGAAAAGTGCAACAAGGGATGAATGGAAATCCAAAGTCTCTGTAAATTTTTACTGAAATTAATAATAAATTTAAAAAATAAATAAAAATTTTCAAA